TGAGGGTGCGCGCGGCGGTGGGCTATTACCCCCGCTTTTCGCCCTTCTTTTTCCTGTGTACCCACCACGGGGAGCTGGAAGGGGATGGGGAGCAGGGCGAGGTGCTCATTTCCCTGCACATTGCAGGCAACCCCACCTACTACGTACCGGGACAGGAATACCATGGTAGGTACCACAGCATCTTCGCGCTCTCCGCCTCCCCAGTTCGCCCTCGAGCGCAGCTTTTTATCCCCTTCCCCCTGAGGGGCCATTTCAACAAGAATCGTGATAAACCTTACCCCAGCGTTGCGTTCTGTTGAGGGGGGAGAGAACAAAGTTAGTGGAGAATGGAGTTGTGAGTTGGGATTTGTTCTCCACCCATTGCACACTCCCCTAACACATCTCTTCATAATGAACTGGTGCTTGTTCTAAACGCCTGAGAAATAGTGGAGGCTGGTGTCTTTCCCCATCACTCCTCATTCTTGCAGCTGAAACGTTGAATGAACCTGCACATCTTCCTTTCTTAAACCCATTACTTGGATTTCAGACCTTTGTCCTGCTCCTGGTCCTCTCTGGTGGGTCCTGGGGTGGCATTGAGGCTGTCACTGTTATCTGCCAGACAGGCTGGTGACAGATTGAAGCGTCCCGGTCTGTGGCAGCCCCATGCCACCCGCCTGCCCACCGCGAAGTTCCGGCTGCTCAACAGCCGGGATTCCCTCTACTTCCATTCAGTGTCAAACAGCCCTCCTGAAATGGAGCGGCTGCTTCCAGCTCTATTCTTTAAGTCAGTCTCTGAAATATCAGCAATTGGTGATTTTTCTGATTTCTTTCTTTTAACGTGGTGATTTTTGTTAGCATTGTCTTTGTGATGTTTAGTAATGACTTTGTCTTTTATCTAAACAGCTTCAATTTCCAGGTAGGAGCTGAAAGCCCCTTATAAAAAGAGGATCCCTTCTTAAAAGGGATCATTATGCAGTCCTTCATCAAGGTGAAACATTTTTGAAGAAGTAAAATTTACCTTCAAGAAATGCAATTTCATGTAGTGCATGTATTTTAAGCTACAAGTTGAGTATGTGAAAAAATACAAATACGGTCTATTTTCTCTATTCCTGCTGGGACTTCTGAACATTTCACATCTATGGAGCTTTTAAGTAGTGACAGGCACTATTTAATTAGAATTTCAATGCAAAAGTACTTATACCCAATCAAATAGAAACTATCATCTAGTAAGCTCTTGTCATAGTTTCTTTCCCTAATAGGCTAACAGGTATTGACATGGCAGAAGGTAATCTGTGGGGTGCTGGAATGTCAGACATGCATGTAAAAATTATAAGAATCCTTTAGAGTTTTCTATTTTTTAAAAAATTTATATCTGGTTTAAAATTTTAGCCTAAATAAATGCTTCCTAGATGTTTAAAACACCACTTTCACAATTTCCTGTGGCATGGTGTCAACCTTGTGTATGGAACTTTATAATTAATTTTGGAAGATTAATTCTCTGTAACTAGTCTTTTCTTTAATAAAAAAGCTTACTGCATTCTCTTCCCCAAAACAATCTAGTGCTTTTCTGGGGTCATGGAAATCTTTAAATTGAAGGACCAGCCAACACGATGGCAAGCCAGAACTAACTCAACCTAACTGTTTGATTGATCCTGTCCTTACTTTGTGTGACCCTTAGTAAAGGTGTTTGCCTGTTCTTACTTGTGAGTGAGTGTGACAGGTCACTGAATTCAGGTTAGGCTAAAAGGTATGATTGTCAGGTTGTGATGGAAGACTATGTGATGATACAAAGTCTTATTTTTTTTTCTGTTTTCAGCATCCTTTGTAGAGTGAGTGCCATGTAGAAAACTGAATAAAAGCATTAGCATATGCTTTAGCTTTTGAATTTACTCTGCAGTTAGCAAATGAACCCAAGAGTTACTTTAATTATATCCTTAAGTCTGATGAAGATTGATTATTATAGAATAAGAATAATACTTGAAATCAGATATTCTGGGTGGGGGGAGTCAAAACTTCCACCTCTTTTCTGCCAACAAAATAAGTAGAGAAATTTTATTATTAAGTTGAAAGGTCAAAATATTATAAACTTTGAGAATATATCAAATTTTAAATACCTCTTACCTGTTTTATCGGGCATTTAAATTTTTGAACTGTTGGTTTCTAGAGGCCTTCAGTGAGAGTTTTTCCTGTAAAATGTTCTAAAGGTAGAAGAAATTGTTTAAAAATGAAGTAATGCCAATATGTCTCTTATTTTAAAACTTTTGGAAATTAGTTTTAAAAATTAATTATATAGCGTCTGTAAGAATTGACTTGCTGATAGGAAAACTTAACCTACCATACGTTTGTGGTTAGCTCATTTCAATATGTGACAAAAATGGAAGGCCATTTGGCCAAAAAAATCTACTTAAGCTAAGAAATCTGTAAAATGTTAGCTTGAAATTTGATTTCTAACTTTCTTAATCTAGCAGTTATCCTGGAAAAATCAGTCCTGTCTATAATTTCCATTGAGCTCATCATTTGAATGAATGGTATTTTGGGTGGAGAATTGATAGTTATGAGTGTTCTTTTTTTTTTTTTTAACTAGAAAGAATGCACTGAGATAGAAGTGCATTATCATAGATCAGTCGGTGACCCTCTGGGATATGGTCTGTGTGACAACCTAGAAAAAAATGGTTCAAAATTATAGGTTCCTGTATGTATCCCATTTATTTAAAGATTTCTTTGTGTCAAATCTTTGACACAAGGTCAAAATATAGTACTAAAGAATGTGAAGTTTGTAAGAATTAACACAGTTTTCAAACATTAAGTAGCTTATCCATCTATTTGTAATATCTGTGGCTTTATCAACAGTGTGTGGTTACATCTAACAAACCTCATCTGTTAACAAAATGGTATCATTTGGTATCTCTGTTTTCATCTTCCTGTATGTTTTAAATTCTGTTGTATATGACTTTCCTGCGGGCACTGTTGGTCATGATGAACTATGATATCTTTCCATGAATATACTACAGGGTAGGAACTCAGCAAAAAAGAGGTATCATGTATATCATGTTGAATTAGAAAGGCCTCAGGGTTAAAACTTTTTTTCCTTGGCATTTTTAAGGGGCGGGGCACAAATCCTAACATAGGTCAATTTCTATAATGTGGTTTCCAGGCTCCAAATCTGGATTTTTTTTTTTTCCGCCCCCAGAAAGTTTCAAGTGATGAGAAAATAGGAAACAAAAACCTGGATGATCCACTCAGGTAGCCATTTCTCTTTCCCAGAAGTGCCCCATGCACTGTTCTCTCCTAGGGACAAGCTCAGTATTGTCAACGGGGAGGGTTGGGTTGAAGTCTGTCCTCTCCGTCTCCCACAATACTCCCTCTTCCTTACCTGCACCCTCAGGTATATACCTGCCATTTTTGTTTGCAACCCCTCTTCCTGGCCTCCAATCTGTCAGTATTAAATTCTCTCCCAGTTTTATTTGCAACTCTAGAAGGACTTTTTTTTTTTCTTAAAATAATGTTGATAGCACTGAAGAGGCTTATATTTTGGAATAGAAAACCCTTTAGGTACCCCTAAAATCATTTCAGTAAGGACTGCCCTCTCACAAGAATGACTTTACTCAGTCACCATCAGAAAGGAGAGGTCATTCCTTAGAAAATCATTGTGCATGAAAGCCAAGCATAGGTAAATGCATCTGCCCAAATACTTGTGCTTTGGTGAAACAGTTTACCAGAATATCTAGAATGATCTAGAATCCCTGTCACTTTGGTGACATAAAATGTGGCAAGTATTGATTAACAGTGAGAAATATGCTTTGAAATGGTGACTGAAGAGAAAAAAAATGTCTCCAGCAGAACTGAATTGGAGATAGGGCATTCTGTTTTAAAAGGGAGATTTTATTGTATTTTGTAAATCTAGCAACAATATCAGTAGTCCTTTTATTCTACATTTCCACTCCATTATTTATTGGAAAAAAAAAAGATATGTGCGCAGGGCAGGACAATAATTTCCCTACTGCTAAAATTGAACATTTATCTTTAAAAAGGCATAATTAGAATAAGGATTAAGGGCAGTTTACATATGTTTTGAAATCAACTGGTTGTTATTTAAAAATCACTGTTCAAAGAAAGAACAGTGTAATGACCTTTCATATACAGGAATGATATTTATGTCAGACATGATTTTTGAAAATATACTCTTAGGTTTAATTGCTTTCAAAGGAATAAATTTATTATTTGAATTAAAGTAATCTGCTATGGCTAAAATAGGCATTGTTGATCAGATGTATGATTCTTTGTCCTTTATATGTTTTACATCCTGGAATCAGCATATTTAAACTGTTAGAATCATTTGTCAAGTGCAGTTTATAAGTGAACTGCAGCTGTGTCCGGCTTATGTATGACTATGAAAATTGGGCATTTTAAAGCATTTTGCTCTACTTGTCACATATTTCATCTTACTGTCTACAATTTATTTCAAACACATTTTACTGATGTGGTTCAGATTGTTTCTGAAATCATAAATCTTGCCTAACATAATTTATATTCTCCCTGTGTGTTCTAATTCTAGTCTTAAACTAGGTCTTTAGAATCTTAATTCAAAACATCTTATTTAGGCAGATTTTTTTTACTTCATTCATAGCACTTCAGTACTAGAAATCATTTAATTAAGATGGTTCCTTCCAATTTTTGTGAACTTTATTTTTAACAATATTTTTATTTTCATTAAAAATGTAAAAGAATAAAATAGAGTAGATTATTATTGCAATCATTAATATACTTTTAAAACAAAACTATCTAATTCCAATTTTTTAAAAAATAAAATGATGGATATTTTAATAAGATTTTAAAGTTAGTATTATTTCAATTTTTTCAGAAGTTAATTTTATTCAGTAGAAAATATTTAAAATCTGTCTTCCTCTTGAGAATTGGTAAACTTTATAGAATGATCTGGGAGTCTTATGTCATGATTTGCATATTAAAGCCACAATTGTTTGATTGTTTTCTGATTATTTTAAATGCTACTTTGAAATTTATTGTGTCTTTAAATCTTTATCAATAGTTGCTGATATGATAACCCTCTTATTTCAAATAGCTTTTGCTAAAACAAAACTTGAGTGACCAGTATAATTTGAACATTTACATTTAAAAAATTTGTACACATACTCAAAACAAAAATATAAAGTTCTTAATGTGTTATG